CATTGACTTTCCAGAAAAAAATCACCTAGTCCAGAGGTCAAGACCCAGATTAGTTTTTTAATAAAATGCTTTTTAATAAGGTAGTTTTTAATAATGTGATCAGAGCTTGGAAGTTTAACTCTGCTTTTTTACAAAACAACTGTGAACTCTGGCTTTAGGACATGACAAAAGAAATTAAGATCTAGTGTTCTTTCAACAATTACTTCTATAAGTATTGTGTAGAATACCTCTTAATGCAGTAAAAAAAAATTCCAAGCATATCTTACAAAATTAAGAAAAATGAGGGAAGGGTTGGGTTTGGAGGAATAGGTGAGAATGGCGAGAGGGGTGACACTGATCAAGATGCACTGCATTCATAAACTGCATTGCTGAATGCAAGATGCATTGCATTCATAAACTGCATTGCTGAATGGCAACTCCTTTGTATAACTACTTAAAGACAATAAAAATGTATTTGAAACGAACAGCAATATGTCACTGAGTTTCACCAGTTGTAACAAATGTATTGTTCAGGTATAAGAGGTGGATAATAATTATGCATATATGAGGAATATGCAGGAAATTTCCCTTCTGCCTCTCAACTTCACTGTAAGTAAACTTTTTTTCAAATCATAAAGTCAATTTAAAATAACAAAAAGTAAGTGGGAAAAACTCTGATAAGGGACTTTCATATGTGTGTGTATGTGTGTGTGTGAGACAGAGAGAGAGAGAGAGAGAACTCCTAGCTGGGCACCTGTTGCTCACACCTATGTTCATAGCTACTCTAGAAGAAGCAATCTAGAGGCTCATGGTTCAAAGCTGACCCAAATAGAAAAGTCCAAGAGACTCTTATCTCCAATTAATCAGTGAAAGGCTAGACTAAAGGTTTGGAGCAAATGGTAGAGTAAAAAGTTGAGCAAGAGCGCAAGGTCCTGAGTTCAAAGCCTGGTATCAGCACAAAAACAAAATCAAAAACAAAAAATAATGTTTGTAATTACATAATAAGCACACAACCAAATTTAAAATGATAGAAATACTTGAATAGAATGTTCACTAAAATGATTATGGATGGCTACTATGAATACAAAAAGATATTCAAAATCAGTGGTCACCAGGGAAATCAAATTAAAACTACCCTGAGCTATCACTTCATACTCATTAAGATAGCTGCAATAAAAAGAGAAAACACAAAGCATTTGTGCTGATATGAAGAAACTCCATATCTCAATGTTGCCAATGTAAATAAAATACTATAGCCATTGTGGAAGCATTTGGGCAGTTTCTTAAGAACTTGAAATCATATTTACTATATAACCCAGCAATTCTATTCCAAGAGGAATAAAAATGTCTACACAAAGCCTTGTACTTCAATGTTCATAGAAATATTATTCATAGTAGCGAAAAGTAGAAACATCCTTAATGTCCATCACTGGGAAATGGATAAATAAAAAGTGGGATATATACATAAATACACACACACACACACACACACACACACACACACACACACACAGTAGAATGCCATACAACAAAACAAAACTACTGCTTGGATGAATTTCAAAAACATTATGCTAAATAAAGAAGACAAAAGAAACTTCATTTCATATGGTTCTATTCATATGAAGAGCCCTGAAAACACAAAGGAAGCCAGAATGGCTGTGAGTGGCCCAGTCTGAAGTCCAAAGGTTCACTTCTCATCCTTTACATCCCCATTAAGCAACTGCTCCTAGAAATGGAGATAAACATGCCCACCCCATATTGAATGAAGCTAACTTCAATACATCATCAGGCACAATTCCAGCTCTAGCAAAAAGACTCCCTGCAGACAGACCTCAGAGCACCTTGGGTTTTTACATATTCACAAATCACCTCAAACATATATGGCGACAAGTTCAGGGTGTGACATTTATCTGTAGCAGGCCCAGCTTGCAAAATATTAAGAGTTCACTAATTATCCCTGTTTTGCCATTGTACATGTGTACATGTATGTGTGTTTTTAATCTCTCCAATGATTACAAAATCAACAATTCCATCAGATTCTCTGGGTTCATTCAATCTAGGCCTCCAATTTCAGGTTTAGTTCAATTCACATATAGGAGACAACTGAGTAAACTCTCCTTAAAAGTTAACTGATTTACTTTGACATTCTGTTTTAATGTTTAATCACTATTAGCTGCAAGCTGTCCATTCTGCTGATGCAAACTATTCTTGTTTGCCCTACTGCCATCCCATCTGGTGTAGAAAAAGTAACTGTCTCCTTACTTCTAGAAAGAACATAATATTGGGGGATGATCATTAAAATCCCTTCCTAGGTTTATTTACTTTGAGCCTTTCCTAGTTAGTGCTATTTTCTATCTTTCACATCACCTAAGGTCCTGTTCTTAATTCTTCAGAATGCTCTAATACGATCATATCTTGTCAAACATGATAACCAAACCTGGGCACTGAATTCTAATGCAGTGCCAAGTATAGCAGAGACTGCAGTTGCCAAATCATGTAGAATAAATTCATTCTCAACAAACAAACGAACAAAAAAAACACCCAGGAAGAATGATGCCAAGGTATGTTTAGGAATATTATGAATGTTAGAGGACATCCTGGGTGTTTAGGAGGGAGAATGTTCCAGAAGGGCGAATATATAGTGAATTAAAATAGAATTCACTACTTAGTGTAATATAGCATTCAAATTATAACACTACCCAGTGCTGAATAATAATAGTACTAAGTGTTGATTTATAATTCTTAGTCTCCAGAAAAACAGGAATATTTCTTTTTTTGGGGAGGGGGGTCTGGTCGTGGGGTCTGAATGCTGGGCCTGGGCGCTGTCCCTCAGCTCTTCAGCTCAAGGCTAGCACTCTACCACTTGAGCCACAGCGCCACTTCCAGCTTTTCTCTTTTTGCTTATGTGGTGCTGAGGAATCGAACCCAGGGCCTCAGGCATGCAAGGCAAGCGCTCTACCACTGAGCCACCTTCCCAGCCCCAACAGGAATATTTCTAAGTGTGTATATATCCAATAGTCTCCCATGCTCCTTGTTCTAATGTAGCTCTTGTTTCAAGGAATAAGTGTTTCAGAGGTATTTCTTGCATTAAATCTAAGTTACAACTTCGTGTTTGTGCAATAAATATGGAATGCCAGATGTTGAATGCTGGAATATATCCACAAACAACAGGGCAGAGTTCAACATTTCTCATTTTACTGATGCAACCCAGACAGGGGTAGAACAACTATCCACTGTGACTTAGAAACAAAAATAGAACCACAATTGCACTTCCTGTACTTCAGGTCAAATCTCCCTCCATTTCTCTATGAAGGAGGTAATCTGAAAAAACAAGATCTAGAAAGAACAGGGAACATGTGGGCCATACCAGTATGTCAGTGGGACAAGATGAGGTCACATCTAGTTCCATTTCTTCTCTGAGAGGAATCTGAAGCCACCCTCATGTTATATTTCTTTTTTTTTCTGATTCTTTTTTTTAACTAATAAGTTTTTTTATTGTGAAAATACTGTACAGAGGGGTTACAATGACATGAGCAAGGTCATGAATACATTCCTTATCAAGCATTGTTGCCTCTTCCTTTGTCTCCCCTTACCATCCCTGCCCTACCATCCCCCCCATGTTATAGTTCATAAACCCCTTGTTAATCTGTGCTCCAATGGTAATCACATGATCTATACCAACTGCTGTTTCTAGAATGTCATCTTCTGGTAGGGGAAGAGGGTCAAGGCTTTCACCTCAGGTGAGAAGCGAAACTGGAGTCCTGAGCCCCTCAACTGTAGGGAGCAGTGGGGATGGGCCTTGGGCAAAAGTGTAAAATCATATGAAGCCCCTACTGTCCGAGATTGGCTGCCCTGTTGAGAATTTCTCCTCCTGGATCCTTTATTGCCTGAACTTTAGGACCACAAATGGAATACAAGTAGTAGGAATGCTTCCTTTCTAGAAGATTCAATGGGAAAGAAGCTAAGGCCCAAAGGTTAAGTAAGGGCTTGCCCTGAGTCTAGGTCATGGTTAATCAAATCACAGTGCCATAGGTCTGGTGATGGTGGCTAGTAGCTTGGGGCGTATTCAAAAACACAAGATAACTTTGACATAGTGTCTAAGGGCATGATCAATGTAGATGTCCTAGGGTGTTGATTGCATTATACTATTCAAATCAGCATGATGATAAAACTACACAATTAGGATTTTTTTTTTTTTTTGTCGGTAATGGGGCTTGTACTCTGGGCTTGAGCGCTGTCCCTCAGCTCTTCAGCTCAAGGCAGGCACTCTACCGCTTGAGCTACAGCGCCACTTCTGGTTTTCTGGTGTTTCATTGGAGACAAGAGTCTCATGGTCATTCCTGCCCAGGCTGGCTTTGAACCATGATCCTCAGATCTCAGCCTCCTGAGTAGCTAGGATTACCGGCGTGAGCCACCAGCGCCCAGCTACACAACTAGGATTTTTAAGCCATATGACGAAACTCCAATATATAAGAAAGGAATAAGAAGGAACAGAAGGAACTGGAATTCCATTTCACTTCTCTTTAGCTTGTGAAAAAGAGTTTCAGGATTAGCCCCCATATTAACTAGGATACAAGTTCAAGAAAACTCTGGTAGGCAAATATAGTAGGATAGTGGCGCCAGCAAAAAGATCTGGTAGTCCATGGGAACACAAACCTACCTCAGCAAGAAATACTGATGGTTCACAGTCTTAGTGAATAATGAACAAACACTTAGGGTTAGCAATATAACTCAGTGGTAAAATGCCAGCTTAGCATACAAGACTCTGGGTGTCATCCTCTGGCACAGAAAAAAGACAATATAGTTGTCTGAGCTTGCCCTCTATCCCCCACATACACTTCTTAGTGGTCAAATGGGGCCTGAGCTAGATTGTGGATTAAAGGACATGTAGATTCTACCTATCCTTCTTACAAATACAAGCAGCAGGCATGATTAAAATTCACTCAGCAATCTGTGTGATTTTCTTCCAGGCAAGTATCATACTAACTTACAAGACTAAAAGTTAAAAATGCAATACTTACTATGTTTTTCTGAGATACCATATCCTGAAAAAGAGAAAGGAAACATTCAACATATTTTTTTTAATTTATTTATTTATATTGTCAAGGTGATGTACAGAGGAGCTTCAGTTATATAAGTAATGAGTATATTTCTTGTCAACCTTGTTACCCCTTCCCTCAATTTTCTCCTCCTTTCCCTCCCCCCAATCCCCCCTAGTTGTACAGATGGTGTCCAACATATTGTCTTGTGAATATCGCTGTTGCATTGGTTTGCCCCTTGTCCTTTGTTTCATCATTCTGTTATTCCCCTTCCCTTCACTAATTCAAATAAACATATATACAATACCAGGGTACCAAAATCAATACAGTAATAACAGAGGATATACCATAGGGGGAAGAACATACAAAAGAAACAAAAAATTACATAGCACATTAAAAACAACAACAACAACAAAGAAAAACCTTTTGTATCCATGTCTTAGAGTTCATTTGGTATATAATGGAATTCTATGCTTCCATCAGAAGGAATGACACTACCCCATTTGTAAAGGAAATGGAAAGACAGAAAAAATCATATTACATGAAGTAAGCCAGACCCAAAGAAACATAGGTCTCATGGTGTCCCTTATTTGTTATAATTTAGTATATGTCTCAGATAATCTTAGCAGATAAGCCGAACAGCTCAATAGCTATGTACATATGACCATATAATATGATGCTAAGTGAAATCAACATATTTTTTAAATGTTAATTCCCATAAAAATGGGTCAGCACTCCCTCCCCCATCTAGTGCCACCTTAGAGCAAGAATGAATCATTTAAACCCCTTTCTGAAAGCTAAATAGAATGAACTTCTGTAAAACCCACCTTCATTTGATTAGCTTTAGATCTACTGGAGAACATTTCAGTTTATAAGAAATGTTTGCCCAAAAGATATTCTGAGATTCAATGTCAATTGTTAAACGCTCTGTCTCTATCCTTCTCAAAGAAGAATGTCAATGACAGTAAGAAAGCTCCTGGGCAGCACTGGGTTAAGATGCTTGTATTTGGAATCATTTCTTGAATGAATCAGTGTGGAGGCTGTAGGCCACACCAGTGAGCCTTGTACTTGTCAGCATCCTGACACCCCACTAAAACCATTTAGGCATGTTCCAAGTACAATGACAATTTTAGTCAGGTAACTTGACATGATGGTTATGCAGCCATTGACTATATCATGTTTTCCCTGAAAAACAATATTTTTTAAAAAAGAAAATATAATTAAATAGCTTCCCTGTAAAATATGTTTTATGTATGCTGACATTTCTATTTTCTGATAAGCTGCAGACTGCTGCTTTTGGTGTCAGTTCTAACTTGACTAGCCACTCCCATTTTAGGAAATATTTGTAGCATTGAAAATTAAAGCCTTTCAGTCCCTGATACCATAAAATTGAAAAACCTCTTCTGGGTCATAGAACTTTGTAGAAAGTTTGACTAAAGCATAGTTGAGAAAAATATATATTGAATAGAGAAAATGAATTCGAATTTTCCGCTTCTCATTTAAATGTAGGCTTTTAATTTCATATTTCCCAAATTTGATTTCAAGCACAATATCCTTCGTAAAAAATAGTAAAGGAAGTCACTACTTAAATATATAAAGTAATTTAAATTGGCTTATAGTCTCTTGGAAATGACAGTGTAAAGTATACTAACAAAACAGTTTCTTTGTTCACTGTCCTGAATGACTAATTAAATATAGAAGTAAGTTATAATTACAGAGCACATATCCATGTAAATTGTATCTGAAGCAGGAAATAATGTCAAATCACTACAGAAAAATCTAGTTAATATTAAACCTCAAAAAACACAAACATCCAACTCTGGCATAAAATTATACTATTATATAGAGTGATTTCTAGTCCTAAGGCAGTTGATGTCTTGGAAGGCAGACTCTCTAAACCACTGATTCTCACCTCTGCTTGCACATTTGGGAAGCTAAAAAATTCCCATGACTGGGCCCTGACCCCAGAAATTGTTCTGTAATTGGTCTAGATGCAGCCTGAGTCTTCAGATATTTACAAGCCCTTTGAGTTACTTTTAAAAAGCAGTCAAAGCCGGGCGCCGGCAGCTCACACCTGTAATCCTAGCTACTCAGGAGGCTGAGATCTGAGGCTCACGGTTCAAAGCCAGCCTGGGCAGGAAAATCCATGAAACTCTTATCTCCAGTTACCACTCAGAAAGCTGGAAATGGCGTTGTTGCTCAAGTTATAGAGTGCTAACCTTGAGCTGAAGAGCTCAGGGACAGCGCCCAGGCCCAGAGTTCAAGCCCCATAACTGACAAAAAAAAATGGCAACCAAGGGCCAAGTGTCAGTAGCTCATGGTTATAATCCTAAGTACTCAGGAGGCTGAGATCTGAAGACCATGGTTTGAAGCCAACCTAGGAAGACCCATTATCGAGACTCTTATCTCCAATTATCCAACAAAAAAATAGAGGTAGAGGTGTGGCTCAAGTGGTAGAGGTCTAGCAAGAGTGCAAGACCTTGAATTCAAGCCTCAGTACTGTGTGCATGGATGTGCATACATACACATACACACACACACACACACACACACACACACACACAGAGTCAAAGTTGAAAAACACTACTATAAACAAACCAATCTATTATTCCTAAAATGATTTACACAGATCAGGATTTCCTGAATACTAAGATATTCAACAATATTAGTATTAAGTGAAATTTGAAATAACATATTAGCCATTTATACTTTATAAATATAAACATGCTTGAAAGCACTGTGCTATTTGAAAAGGCTTATATTAAGCCTTCTAGAAACTCTTAGTGATTACTCAATTGCACAAGAAGATACATTTTTAATTTTGTTTTGCTTTCTTACTAGAGGAAAATAAATACTATTTGTCTATGTAAAAAATGTCTAGTCATTTTGGTAACTCATCATTTGGTAAATGATAATAATATCATTATTTGAGTTGAGAATTGATTTCCATAATGTGTAGGTTTGGATGGAATTCCCATGAAGGGATTCAGAGTAGTATGTTTGCATTAACAGAAACACAATTTTTGCCTTCCGGTCCCTAGTTCAGGTTACCTACAAAAGCACAACACATCAAGGAAGTCATCAGTGACAGCTAAAAGTTGTGGTGTAAAGGAAGAAACTGCCCAAGAAATTCCTAACTACTTTTCGCCAAAGTCCCTGTATTACAGTTACAGTTAAGCTTAACATATAATTCAATTTTTCCAAAATGAAATATTCAGGGAAAGTTGAACACTTGCCCTTTACCTTCAGTGACATAGCAGTGTCGGCATCAGTGTCATAGTACAGAATCACGTTATTGGCCATGTCAAAGCTTTCTCGGACTCCAAGATGGTAGAAAAGGGAAGGTTGTCTGGAGATGTCACTCATGTCCACCACAGCAACATCTGAAATGCACAAGAAGAGAATAGAGTAGGGGAAGAGACCATCTGTTTATTTAATCTGCTTGCTCCTGATTACCAAGGAAGAGATACAGTGATTTGTATTTATACCTCCCATTTTATGCCAAATAGAAATGAGGAATGATTTAAGGTTGCCCCCATGAAGTGTAGGAAAAAAGCAGTAAGAATTAAAAAGAAATAAAACAGGGCTGGGAAGGTGGCTCAGTGGTAGAGTGCGTGCTTTGCATGCATGAGGCCCTGGGTTCAATTCCTCAGCACCACATATGCAGAAAAAGCTGGAAGTGGTGCTGTGGCTCAAGTGGTAGAGCGCTAGCCTTGAGCTGAAGAGCTGAGGGACAGTGTTCCGGCCCAGAGCTCAGGCCCTATGGCCAACCAAAAAAAAAGAAAAGAAAAAAACCAACCAAACAAACAACGAAAACAACAAAAAGCCCCTCCTCTTTTGAATTGGTGAGGATAATCTCATCTAAAAATTACCAATAGATTTGTTTCCTATGTTATTTTTCTTATGAAATATATCACATATCCAAAGAAGATATCTACCTCATATACGAAGTATAAAGTCTAATTATATGAAACCTATGTACCTGCCACGTGAGTCAAATTCTTAGAGCCTTACCTGCATTGTTTGTTTGTTTGTTTTTAAGACAAATATCACAGATTCACTCTCTTTTTTTTATTTCTTATTTGTCTGTCGTGGGGGCTGGACTCTGGGCCTGGGCACTCTTCAGCTCAAGGCTAGCACCCTAGCTCTCGAGCCACAGCACCACTTCCAGCTTTTTCTACTTATGTGGGGCTGAGGAATCGAACCCAGGTCCTCATGCACCTGAGGCAAACACTCTACCACTGAGCCACCTTCCCAGCCCCTTACCTGCATTGTTGAAGGCCCATATGTCCCTCCCTCTTGTCTAGAGAAAATTATCCCTTTCAATGTATTTATCATTTCCTTGCACATATGTTTACATTATAAACTAAATTTTTGTGTTCCCTTAAAATTCATGGTTTGAAATCTAACCTCCAAAGTGATAGTATTTAGGTGTAGTACCATTGGAAGATGATGAGGCCATGAAGGCTAACCCTTGTGAATGGAATTCATGTCCTTATGAAAGAGGCCTCAGAGAGGCCTTACTTCATATGAGACACAGGAAAAAGGTCTCATCTATGAACTAGGAAGTGGGCCCTCATCACTGATCTGTTGATACCTATCAATACCTCCAGAACTGTGACAATATATTTCTGCTGTTTATAGGCCACCTAGACTCTGGTTTTCTGTCATAGCAGCCTAAACAGTCTGAGATAATATGTATAAATATGTACAGGCACAAACTCTTAAGCAGTATATCATTTACTTTTGCATATCTTTGAACGTTATATTCTTTGATTTTTTATGCAGCTCAATTTGTATGCCTAGCTCTAATTTCTACACTTTCACTTTTGCACAGAATCTCACTGTATAGTAAATAGGCACAATTTTTTATGCACCCTGTCTGTGGAGATATTATTCTTTTTTTCCTATTTCAAGCTACTACAATAAACATATGTTCATTCTCAACTTGACACTAAAAAATGCCCCTGAACTTATACTCTGTAGTAGAGACCTACTCAAATCAGAAGAGCAACTTATTGTATCAAAAGCAAGCATGTTGACATATGCCTGGATGCCATTTCAAAATATAGTATTCACAAATGGATGGGAACTTCCCCATCAGACAGTACATAGACGCAGGGATGTGTGTGCAAATTTACACGTGCACTTCTGAGACAGAGAGTCCATGAGAATACCATGGAAAGATAATGAAGGAGAGAAGTATGTGGGCACAAGGAAACAAGGCAACAGAATGAAGCCATATCAGCACCAAGCACTACTGGCCCTGTATGCACATATTGGGAGACAGAAGGCCAAATGTTACTAAGCACTAGGACGGGCTTTTTATGATCTTATATATGGATTGCCAGCTATACAACAATTATTGTCCTGCATACCAAGGATAGAAGTGTGAATGAGATATAATTCCTTTCCTGAAAGAAATAATGCAACCTGTCTCCCAAACCTGAGTTATACCTCCAGTTCTGGCTTTTTTCTGATTACCTGGAAATAAGGGTCTCGTGGATTTGTCTGCCCAGGCTAACTTCAAACTGTGATCCTTAGAGCTCAGCCTCGAGTAACTAGAATTATCAGTGTGAGCCACTGACACCTGAGTAGTAATGCTGTTTGTGATCAGAGGATCTTTAAGTTAGGGAGGCAAATCAGAGTGAGGATGGAAGGACAGAACAAGAAGGGAAGAATGCAGTAGGAAGAGAAGAAAGCAAGTGCAAGGGGCTAGAAGTAAAATGAGGTGTAAGTGTTAATTTCATGATTGGAATAGCCAAAGAGATGAATCTGGAAGGGTTAGTAGTAGTAAAGGGATCTCAAGAGGGGTAGAGGTGGGTTTTTGTCAGTTATGGGGCTTGAACTCAGGGCCTAGGTGCTGTCCCTGAGCTCTTTTGCTCAAGGCTAGTGCTCTACCACTTTGAGCTACAGCTCCACTTTCGTTTTTTTGTGTGGTTAACTGGAGATGAGCCTCATGGGGACTTTTCTCCCCAGGCTGGCTTCAAACCACAAACCTCAGATCACAGCCTCCTGAGTAGCTAGGATTACAAGCATGAGCCACTGGTGCCTGATGTTTTTTAACTTATTATGGAGAACTACAAATATATATAAAACAGATAGCTAGTATAATGAAACTCCTATGCTCTCTACCTTGATGATTATCATCTCCTGAGCAGCCACTGCCCCACTGCCATGTACACCAGCCCTTTCTAATTATTTTGAAGCAAATAGCAGGTACCATCAAAATTTCTTCTCAAGTGTTCCAGGATGTGTCATTAAAAGATGAGAACGCAAAGAAAAATAAAACAATAGTGTCAATGTCTTGCCAAAAGCTATTCTTTTTTTTTTTTTTTTTGCAAGTCCTGGGGCTTGAACTCAGGGCCTGGGCACTGTCCCTGAGCTTCATTTGCTCAAGGTTAGCATGCTACTACTTGAGCCACAGCACCACTTCCAGCTTTTTCTGTTTATGTGGTACTGAGGAATGGAATTTAGGGCTTTATGCATGCTAGACAAGTACTCTACCACTAGGCCACATTCCCAGCCCCAAAAGCTATTCTTTTTTTTGGGGGGGGGGTCTGGTTGTGGGCCTGAAATCTGGGCCTGGGCACTGTCCCTCAGCTCTTCAGCTCAAGGCTAGCGCTCTACCACTTGAGCCACAGTGCCACTTCCGGCTTTTTTTTTCTGCTTATGTGGTACTGAGGAATCGAACCCAGGGCCTCATGCGTGCAAGGCAAGTGCTCTACCACTGAGCCACCTTCCCAGCCCCCAAAAGCTATTCTTAAGTAACCATGAGATTTTGCCCAGGAGACTGTCAGATTCATATCCATCTTTTAGAAGTTATTACTAATGAAAGAACAAATGCAGATGTTGCAGACACATTTTAGAATTCAACTGAGATCATTTATACCTCAAATGAGGAAGTGTGCTCCCTACAGACATATGCTCAGAGTCAAAAATAACATTGCAGCTAAGCAAGTTAGATATTTTGTCCACATGATTGTTTGCTGGACTCTTATTACCTACCCAAATTAAAACAAGTATTTCATGGTGAAGTTATTTAAAAACACACACACACACACACACACACACACACGCACACACACACACACAGAGAAAAAACTGGCAACATGGGCTGGTAAGGTGGCTCAGTGGTAGAGTGCTTGCCTTGCATGCATGAGGCCCTGGGTTCGATTCCTCAGCACCACATAAGCAGAAAAAAAGCCGGAAGTGGCGCTGTGGTTCAAGTGGTAGAGCACTAGCCTTGAGCTGAAGAGCTGAGGGACAGCGCCCAGGCCCAGAGTTCAGGCCCCACAACCGGACACAAAAATAAAAAAGAAAAAATAATAAAAAAAGAAAAAAATGGCAACATAGATGCCAACTCCATGGCCGTGGTGACTGCTATGGCAGTTAATAAAAGGAAGCAAATGGAAGAAGACAAAGGAGTGGCGGGAAAGGGCAGAAAACAGTGATGAAGCCCAGTAGCTTCCAATTGACATTTCTGAAGGCAACAGAAGTTGCTAGAGAAACTTAGTGCTAAGTAGATGAGGTTTTTGCGTGGTGACACAATTTCCTTCTTTTATTGGCCTCTCCAACTCCAGAAAGAACCCCTGCTTTGGCTCTACTCAGGTCTGGCATAAAGGCTTTCCAATAGCAGTTAAAGCAAGAACGATGCTGAGCGCTTGTGGCTCATACCTGTAATCCTAGCTACTCAGAAGGCTGAGATATTAGGATCATAGTTTGAAGTCAGGCAAGAAAGTCTGTAAGACTCTTATCTCCAATTAAGGACTAAGAAAAGGTAGAAGTGGAGGTGTGGCTTAAGTGGTAGAGCACTAGCCTTGAACACAAAACTCAAGAGACAGGACCTAGGCCATTAGTTCAATTGCAAAATTCAGTCCAACTATACAGTGCATTGGTTTAAGTCATAGCTAGGAATTGTGTTAAAGTAAAGGCATGGGTGATCAAACCAAAGGGGTCAAGGCATGTCCAGAAGAAGGTGTTTCTCGTAAGAAAAGAAAAAGGGCATGTTTTATGCTCCAAATACTGGCAGTTACCAGGCAATTGACACTAGGCAATTGTCCTTTGGACAATTTTTGGCTATGAGCGATAGATGCTAAAAATAATTTTTAAAAAATTCTGGTCTTGGGATTGGAGGTATGGTTAGGTTGGTAGAGTGCCAATGAGCAGCCACAGGTACTGAGTTCACGTCCTGGTCTCAGCCCTAGAAAAAAAATCTAGTCTTTCTAGGAGCTAAACACACACAGAAACAGCCACCAATTCTGCTGAACAAGCAAATGGAATATTCCTCGAAAAATTAAACACAGCCAGGAGCTGGTGGCTCATGAGTATAATCCTAGCTACTCAGGAGGTTGAGATCTGAGGATCATGTTTCGAAGCCAGC